GGGCCCAGGCCACTGGGTGCGGGTCAACAAGGCTCAGGGCCGGGTCCTGCACTGGGGGCACAACAACCCCAGGCACCACTGCAGGCGTGGGGAGGAGTGGCTGGAGAGCTGTCTGGGGGAAAAGGACCTGGGGGTGTTGGTCGACAGCCCCTGAACATGAGCCAGCAGTGTGCTCAGGTGGCCAAGGGGGCCAATGGCATCCTGGCTTGTATCAGGAATGGTGTGGCCAGCAGGAGCAGGGCAGGGATCGTCCCCCTGTGCTGGGCACTGGTGAGGTCGCCCCTCGAATGCTGTGCTCAGCGCTGGGCCCCTCACCCCACGAAGGCCATGGAGGGGCTGGAGCGTGGCCAGAGCAGGGCAGCGAGGCTGGGGCAGGGGCTGGAGCCCGAGGCTGGGGAGGAGCGGCTGGGGGAGCTGGGGGGGCTCAGCCTGGAGAAGAGGAGGCTGAGGGGAGCCCTCATCGCTCTCTGCCACTGCCTGAAAGGAGGCTGGAGCCGGGGGGGTCGGTCTCTTCTCCCCAGGAACAAGCGATGGGACGAGAGGGAACGGCCTCAAGCTGCGCCAGGGCAGGTTTGGGTTGGGTATTAGGAAAATGTCTCCACCGAAAGGGCTGTCAGGCCCTGGCCCAGGCTGCCCGGGGCAGTGGGTTATCGGTTGGACTAGATGATTTTAAGGGTCTTTTCCAGCCTAAATGATTCTATGATTCTATCAATTTAGAAGTGAATGCAAATGGGATATGGGAGACAAGTGAAGACCAAAGCCAGCGCTCCTGCCCTTGTGGAGGGGTTTGGGCTACAGTGGAGAAAATACAGGAGGTAAAGCCACTGTCAGGAGTCTGGCTGCAGATCCCTCTCGTCTGCTGTCTGCATCGGGCTGCAACCGTCTGAGAACAGGGAGAGTCAAGGTCAAGGGCAGCTGGATGTGGGCGATAGCTCGGCAGCCCGTGCGGTGGGTAGGGCTGTCTGGACTAGTCTGGGACGAGACAGAAAACAGTTGTTAACGCTGTAACTTGCAAAGCCCTGGATTTTGTGCTGCAACGTGGAGCAGAGTTACATCATCCGCCGGCACCGCCGCGGGGCGAGGTGCGCGTGCGGGTGGGAGGGGCGAGGCCGGAGTCGCCGGGGTTACCTCAGCCCGCAGGCCGGGATTGGCTGCGGCGGGTCAGCTGGGCCGGCTGCCCGCG